CAAATCCTCTTAGAATTTTTCTTAGAATAATATCTCCAGCATATGGATAAAATACCATTAGAAACGGCTTGGATCAGTTGGGAGACCTTCTCTTGTAAATCTTTTGAAATTACAGGAACTCTATCAAAATCTCGTGAAGCCTGTTGTTTCCTTCTCGAATCTTCTTGAGTCGTCCAGTTACACTTTTGCTTTATTTAAAAACTGTACTGAATTTTCTAGCTATTATTCTTTGAAGAAGGCAAAACAAAAAAAATAAAAATCTTAAAATCAATACGAAATTTCGTTACTGAAAAATGCAATTCCAATATTTGTATATGGAATCCTATTTTATTAATTTGTATGATAGAATAAATTTATATTTTATAAAATATTTATTGAATTAGCTATCTTTGTTGGTCATTTTACTTTATTATTGGAATTCATCAAATGTCTCTACATGCATAATGCTGTGTTTACTTTTCTGTTGAATTATTGCCGGCATCTAATCTTCAAGAATTAATCGAATAATGTTTTAGAACAATATAATTGAGTCATAATGAAGAGTAGAATGTTTTAACTGAAATTTTTGATTATTATCAATTTGATTGGAATTATTTTTAAATGGTACATCGAAAATAGATACGAATAGTTATATGATTCGAAGCGTGTCGACATTCATCCTAAAAATTATTTAAATCATGACTATTCTTCACAAGTTATTATCGATATTCGGAAGCTTTTCATTGTCTCTTATTAATAAATCATATTGTTTTAGAATAAGTTACATTAATTGATATCATAATGTTCGTTATTTGGATTTCCTAATTCTATTCAGTTGTTTTTAAATTAATATTGAACGATGAATTTCTTATGCAGGTATTTACGTTGTTTATTGTCATATTTATTAAATCATTCCTTTTAAGAATCTCCTATTCAGACTTTTTTTGATTTATTCTTAACGATCAAACTTTTTGGTTTTGCTTTCTTAATTTATTTTGAACCTTAAATTTAAGTTAAGATGGCAAGAAAATGTATATGATAATTTGTGAATATTTATTTTATTTTAACTTTGCCATAATATTACAAAACATTATCGGATTCTATCTGACTAATGAAGGCATATTGCCAAGTAATAAACTTCTGTTTGTGTTATATTTTTCCCACAAGTAGGATTCTGTGAAATTAGAAAAACTCTAAACGGATTCGTCCCATCAGTCCTTTTTTTCTGACTTATTACACTGGAATATCAGCCTCGGGCAAGTGATTTATAGAGAAATCAAATGAAGGAGCTTTGACCTGAAATTTCACTGATAAATACATAGGTTCGATCACTGCTAGAATGTTCAAAACACGATCGTATTTCACAAAAGAGAGTCATAAAAATTGACTTTTCTTAAACATTTAATGCCTCAAGAAGGAATACGAGACTCATGTATGAGCAAAATTTAACGTTGAAATACCTTCAGTTAATTTTTCTATAAATACCCAACCAGAAGTCGAAACTATAGTAAAACAATCTTAACTTTAGAAGAAAGGCCTAATGTGATGAATCTTTGTAGTCTTCTTCTTCTAGCCTTACAAAGTTCTATTTATGGAAAAAAAATATGAACTCGAACGGAGGATATCTGTTGGTAATGTACTTTATGAACTCACGTTTAAAATAAACTTAACCTATTTTCAAATTTTGTTCATAACCTATCCATCTGAATGCCATCAGATTGCTTTACATAGTAGAATTCGACCTTGAAATTCATGCCATTGTTTTTTATCTCTATTGCTCTATACGACCGATTCGTCAAAATAATAGATGATGCTATTGACATGAATTTTGATCAATAGATAATTCTATTGGTTTTTAGTCCTTGATATTTATCTCTTAAGTTTTATTTGTATTTTTATATCTATTTGTAATGCATCTCCTATATTGTATTTGCTGAAGAAAACAACACTACTACATTCAGCTGTACCTTTTTTGCAAATTAAAGACCATCGTTCGACATTTAATGTCTTTGTTTGCATCATCTTGACTTTCTAACATAAAAGGAAAGATAAGAAAAAAGACGTTGTGATTTTTTTTCTATCATAAGGAATGTTAAATAAAGATTATCTTAAAATGTCGATAATTTATATAATCATAAGCACTTGATAAGATTGACATGGTCATATACACTCCATCTGATCCAATTATGGGTGAGTCTTCAATAATTTGAAAAACGACACAAATATATATGATGACTGTTTTGTTGCTATTGATCATCTTGATACAATAACATATATACTTTAAAGCATGAATATTTATGACATTCAGATTTTAACAAAGATATTCCTATAAATGTATTAAAGTATTACATTGATAAATTTTCTATTCAGATCACATGCTAAAGATATATTGAGAACAAAATTTTTCATAGAATAATAAATTCAAAAAAAAAGAGCCGTATCTTATCTTGAAATTTAAAATAATTGGATAACATCTATATCATCATTTTCTTGTCTAGCTGAGTCTAATTCAATTCATCGTCATCGTCCTGATCAATCTCCTATTACTGAACATCAACATGTATCAATTACATCGAATGTTCAATCAAATGTATTAAAAGTTGTGTTAATACCAGATGAACCCACATTGAAAAGACATCTTGGTTTATTCTCAGGAGTCTGCTTTATTATTGGTATCATTATTGGTAACTTATTATTTATTATTATTTTTTGTTTTATTATCAATTGCTTAAGATTATTATTAGGTTCTGGTATATTTATTTCTCCTAAAGGTGTTTTACAAGAAACACAATCAGTTGGTCTGTGTTTGATTGTTTGGACTGCATGCGGATTAATTTCGATACTTGGTATACTTTATAGAAATATTTTCATTTAAACTACATATTTGTATCTTTTCTAGGAGCACTTTGCTATGCAGAAATTGGTACAATAATACCGAGAAATGGCGCAGAAGTAGCTTATTTGAAAGAAGGTAAAATATACAAGAAAAACATGAAGAATAATTATGACTAAATTTTGACAAATAATTTTAATGTATATACATTGATAGGTATCGGATCGGTTCATGAACGAACAGGTGATATATTAGCATATTTATTCGTTTGGACAAGCGTATTGGTAATTAAACCAGCAAGTATTGCTGTTGGTTGTCTCACATTTTCTCAATACTTCTTATCTGGCATTCTGAGCAGTAAATTAGTATCGATCCATAAGCACTTTTTGAGAAACACGTATATTTAGATTGTGGATCTTCACCAGAACTTGTTAAAATGTTGGCTATTTTTGCTATTTGTATGCTTACTTTTTTTTTCCTAATTACTTGTGTTTATATCGTTCGTTTGTAGTAATACTCATCAATGTTAACTCGCTCAGTGTATCAGCAGCTAATCGCCTGAATATCGTTTTTGTCATATGCAAGGTATTGATTATCTTGACAATAATAATAGTTGGTCTTATACGAATAGGACAAGGTTTGTTATTTGTTCAGTTAGAAAAATAAATAAAATCATTTGAGAATGTTTTCTTTATAGGACATACGCAAAGCTTACAGAATAGTTTTGCTGGTAGGTTACAATTGACGAAGATGATCAAGGAAATTATTATTTATTTTGTCTAAAACAGGTACCACAAAGAAACCATTTGGTGTTGTACTTGCATTTTATAAAGGCCTGTATGCATTTGGTGGATGGCATAATCTTAATACGGTGACAGAAGAACTCAAAAATCCTAAAAGGTAACTTACTAAATTTAATTGATAGCATAGATGTTCACATATTTTTCATTGATAGTAGCATTTCTATTTCAGATACGACCTTTGATTGATTTATTGAGCAACTAAATAGAATATATATCTATGTTGTATTTTTAGAAATCTATGGTTATCGATTGTATTAGCTTTACCTTGTGTTATTATTCTCTACATTCTTACGAATATTTCTTATTTCACTGCAATGAACAAAGTCGAATTGCTTATTTCTAATGCTGTTGCTGTAGTATGTAAATGAATAATAAAACCTATCTTCTATTTAATGTATCATTTTTAAATAGACATGGGGTGAAGTTGCTTTGGGTTCTGCTGTTCGTGTATTAGTCATTTTCATCTCAATAAGTGCATTAGGAGCTGCTAATATTAGTTTATATGGAGCTGCTCGATATTGTATGGTTGGTGCTCAATATAGATATTTACCTGAATTCTTTGCATGTGTTCAAACGCAAAGATTAACACCATTACCTGGTGTTGTCCTTGTGGTTGTATCATCTATTTGATAATTGATAATAATAATAATATTCTTATATTTACTTTTGAAGGGTGTCCTGGCAATTGCTTTTTGTATTCCAAGTAATATCTATGGATTGATTGATATCTTTAGCTTTTCTACATGGATTTTTTTTGGTTTAACATTTGTCGCAACATTGTGCTGCAAAGTGACAAAGAAGAATGTACAACGAGTAATTAATGTATGCATTTGTCTATTGTCAATGACGAGAAAAATAAAATGATAGCTTCTATGTAGGTTCCAATTCCAATAGTTATCATTATTCTTTTGATTGCAATCTCCTTAGTAATCATTCCAATTGTATATAATCGAAGTATTAGATTTCTTTTTGCTGCTATTGTGATGCTGTTTGGTTTGATATTCTATTATCCATTTGTCTATCGTAAAATCGAATTACCATTTATGAGTAAGTAATGAAAATGTATTTATTTTGGAAAAATTTTTCACAATTAAAAAACTGATTTGTTTTTTTTTCTATTACAAGAAAAAATGAATTCAACTTTACAAGCATTTTTCAAACTACAACAAGCACAAATAAATATTGAATGATAAAATCATCGTTTGTTTTTCTATTTGTAGTTTTATTTTTCATATATAAATGCATAAAATAATATTTGAATTTTATTAACTTTTCTTTTTATTCTTTTTGTTGACATACAGGTAATGAATTATATTGCCATTCATTATTTCGACATTGAATATCAATAATATGAAATGATGAATTAACTATAATTGCATTTTCATGACATGAATATCTTGTTAATAGATAATATTTTATTTCATTATGTATAAAATAAGATTCAGCACTTTTCCAACCATTTTCAATCGTTTCAGGCATTGATTCAAGACAGCCACTAGCTAAAATAAATAAATCAATGAAAATGAATAAAATTTTAAAAGAAAATATAAATACATACGAATACATCTTGGTCGTGGTCCCCATCGACCATTTCTACATTGAATATATAATGGACCTGATTCACGATCATGTATAAAATTTTCAAGACATCGATAACTAACTCTACTACCATCGTCATAATAACCATCAGTAGTTAATTTTGCAAAGATTTGTGTTCGAGCATTTGGAATAGTAATTCTACTTTGACAACGGCGTTTGAAAGGAGCTACATAAAACAAAAATATTAATATAAAACTGTTAGATAGATTTAATTTATACCAATGCATGGTGGTGTAGGTAATAACCATTGACCATTATCAAGACAAGTCATATTAAAAATAGAACTTTGACTATTAGTTTTATCAAAACAATTTAAAAGAACAAATGATCCAGGAATAGCTTCATTTGTTGATGTATCAAATACATTTATTAAAGAATCAATAATTGAACTTCGAACTGAATCAATGGGTGGTGGAAGTAAACATCGAGGTTTTTCTTTGAAAATAAAAAAAAAAAAAACATTAATAAATTGTTTCATTATAAACAATTTCTTACCATTACAAATTATTTTTGGATTAAAAATACCATTTTGACAAGTTAATCGAAATGGTTCATTATTACTAATATTATTTATATAACCATATTGACAAATAAATAAAATTGATCCACTATATGCTATTTCATTATTTATAGTATGTTTTATAGTATCATCACTTAATAATTGGGCATGTTCAATTACAGGTAATTCTTTACAATATGAAGCAGTTTCACGAATTTGTCGGTAACTATTAGATAATAATTGAGTAGATGAAATAAAAGTTTCATTTGAAATATTCATTATGAACAAATTATCATCTAGATTTATAGTAATATTATTCTCTTCTATTGTATTAAGTAGAATTGTTGAAGTATCGAAGAAAATCTCTTCAGTAGTTTCATTACCTATAGTAAAAATTTTAAATATTTCATAAAAATCTCTACATTATTCTAAGAAATCTTTGAACTATGCAATCATATATAAATCTTATAGTCAATAGTATTAACAAAAATTGATTTTTATTTATTCTAACTTACTCAATTGACATATTGTTATATTAATTGTATCAATTGACCATGTTCCATTTATAGAACATGTAATAAAACTTAATTGGTTAAATAAAGATTCATATCCTGATTGACATGTAAAAAAAAGTCTAGTACCAACATTATAAGTTTCATTTAATTCTGATTGAATCATAACTGAATTTGGAATAAATGGAATCTCATTTGAATTACACACAATTGTATAAGTATCATCGAATATTACAGTACTATTTTCATTTTCTATTGTTGTTGTTGTTGTTTCAAATGAATTTATATTTGAATATATTGTAAATTTTTCTTTTGAAAATAATAAATTATTGCTTTTCATTAAATTTTCTTCATTGACATTTGTTATCACTTGTGTTGTCGTTTTAATTGCTTCTAGAAAAATATAGAAAATTTAAAAAAAAAAAAACAATAAAATAAAATGTTTTTCATTGTACCTCGACATATTGGTATACCAGTCCAATTATTTGTATTATATTGGCATTGAATTTTTAATGATGGACTTAATGGATCATGTTCAAAATTTGGTAAACAAACTCGAAGAACATATGAATTATAAACAAATGCCAATGGATCTCGAATATATTGAAGTGAAACTAAATAAATAAATAAAATAAAAAAATAAAAATTAATCTAATCCATCATGGTTTTTTTCGCTAAATTTACCATTAAGGACATATGAATTTTCAACTTGTGATTCAATATCAAGTAAATCTTGTTTTGGACATGTCGGAATTTCTAAAATGTTTTTTTTTTCTCTTTTATATTTATTTTAATATCATATTTACCATGACAATCAGTTATATTTGTCCATTGACCATCGACACAGTCACTTATGATTTGATCATCACCATCTAATGTTTCAAAACCAGAATTACATTCATAAATAATTCTACCTGTATATGTTTGATCTTCCCAAATAGTAACATTATATACAGTAATAAAACCATTTTTAATAAAAACAGGATAACCACATCGTATTTTTTGTTCAACCTCATACGCAACTAGATGAATAAATGAAATTGAAAAAAAAACGCAAACTATAGAAAATAAATTTTTACATTCACAAACTGGTAATGAAGACCATAAACCAGAATTTAAACATTCAACAATAAGAGATGTTTTACCATCATTTAAACGATAACCTTCTTCACATGTATATTCAAGATTACTACCAACCTACAAAAGAAAATATTTTTTATATTTATCTATAAAAATTCATTTTTTATACAATCTAACGAATAATATGTCTGCAAAGTCTAAATATGTAGTCAAATAGAAAGAAGATGTTAGATTGAAAAATACAAATAATCTTTTAAGAAAATACAGTTCATAATTGGATGCTAATTTCAAATATTTTCTCTCAATTGTAGCTAAAGATTGAGATCTATTCATTATAGATTAATTATTCAAATTTTAAAATTCGTTTCATTAACTCTAAAAGAATATCAATTTAAGATTAGGTATTTTTTCATATTTATTTAAGTAATTCATATGATTATCTTTAAATATATATTTATACCTAAGTGAAAAAATCTTACGAAAATCATACAGATATCGTACTGTAAGATTTAATATTTAGTTGACTATAAGATATTATTATGAATCTTTAAATGATTCTTACTATAAGATTCTTGCAAAGTTTAATGATTGAAATCTTATAAGATCATAATTTTAGATCACACATATATAAGTAGTTTTGATAAAAATAGTTCTATGTATTTAAATAAATATCTAAACGATTAAATACATCTAATCTTGGCGCTACTTTTGTTAGAATTGAAAATACATCAGAGATAATTTCCTATGGATGTCCGGGTGAGTGTTGTTGAAAGATTACTGGTTTATGCAAGTTAGGTTTTCAAAACAAATCAACAAAAATGTCACGTTCCAACATCATTCTGCTATCCAAGTCAAAATTTAGATCTACAAGTCGAACTTCTAGTAATACTATTTAGAAAACAAAGAATAAAAACTATCAGTTCCATCAGTAACAGCAAAAACTGATCAAGTGGTGAAGACGTCTCGTAAAAAAAAAACTTCTTAGTTCATTACCTACAATGAGTATATTAATTTCAACGGAAATTACAATCGATGTGCTACGCCTCTTTTACAAAGCTAATATTAATGAAGAAGTGTTTAAAGTGCTCAAACGATGACTCATATATAATATACTTTTATTGATGTTTAATTAATTATGTAAAAATTTTATAATGGCAGAAACAATATATTGTCTAACTCACTATTTTAGAATTAGAAGCTCTTATTTAGGAGATGATTAGCGTGAATATGGTGTAAAAATGCATGCTTCATATAAGTTATTTGCTGTTCAGTTTTTTCAATGCAAATAATTGTTCGATCGAATAAAGATCTAAAAGCATCAGCCATGACCAAATGTTAATCTAGATATTTTTAGAGTTTTTAAATTTCATTGAATTTATTGATAAGATGTTAAATGAAAACAAAAGAAATTTAAGTCATTTACTAACTGAATAAGAACAATTTTCTTTAATTGAAAAGTGATTTCCATACTAATTTTCATCTCTATATATTCCAAAGGGAATTAACATCAACTTGATTAATTATACAAAGTAATAGATTGATTATGCATTATTGATGCAAAACTATTGAATAAGAGATGAGATAGAATTAGAATTAATATTAATAATAGAATAAGAAATAGAGTACAGATAGAAAAGAAAAATATTTTCTACAGTAAAACCTCGATATGTGAACACCCCTCCTTAATGGACACTTCGCTATTACGAACGCTTTTTACTAGTCCCGAAGGTGTTCAGATGAGAGAAGTTTTACTGCATATTGATCCATAAATAGATCGTGGAATAAAATTTCTTAGACTTACCATATGAAATTGTCGATCATTTTCTGAAAATTTAAAATTCATTTGTGTAATACGTGATCGATATGGTAAATATAATTTCGAATAATCACACACAGCTTGAACATCTATAGTGAAACAAAATCCTTAATTAAAACCAACAAAACAAAACTGTGAGTATATTAAAACAATTATTTACATCTACAACTAGCCATTGATGTCCAAGTACCATCATTTTGACATTGAATAATAAGAGATCCGTTTGACGTTGGATCAAATTCATAATTATCTACACAACGTAAAGTAATCATTGAACCAACAACAATTTGTTGAGGATCATTTTGAAAAAGAGTTATATTATGCGATTCAATTTGTGTATTTAATGGATAAATATTAATAGGTGAACATTGTTTTTCAGCTAAAGAAAATATTCAAAATAAAAAAACAATTTCAAAAAAAAAATGAAAAATAGTACCAATGCACTGAACCATTTTTGACCATACACCATTTTGACAAGTAACAGTTTTATTTCCAAGAAGATAAAAACCCGGTAAACATGTATATTCCATATTACCTAAATAACCTTGACCTTTATAATACGAAACTCGATCACGTTTTATTAATCCATTAGTTAACTTCGGTGGTGGAGCTTCGCAAAAGAGCCCTTTCTCTAAATATACAACAATAAGTATTTAGAAGAACAAATAAACAAGAATAAAAAAC